CTATTTGTGGCAATATGGATTGAGCTGGAAGGGATAACTCTAAGCGAAATAGGTCAGAAGGAGAAAGATAAAATCAAGATGGTGCCACTAATATGTGGAATATTGAGCAACTAAACTAAGAGTCAGATGGAGACAAGCTATAAAATCTACCCTTGAAAGATGACTATAGAATTGAAGCATCCAGAGGAGTAAAGGGGTGGAGGAGGCGTTAGAACAATGAGGGAAGGAAGCACAATGGATTCAGGTGGTGGATGCTGGGTGATGGGTGGTAGGTGGCACTATGGTTGCAATATCCAAATATTTTCTCAAGTAAAAATAAATTAGTTTTAAAAATTAAATAATTTAAAATTACTATTCTTAATTATTCTACTTCTCACAGCGGAGAGTAGAGATCTGCTCCCTCTCTGTGCATGCACAAATGTAAATGCTTATTCCACAGAGCACTTGGCACTATCCATTCAACAATTTCTTGGGTGTATGTTGGGCGACATTCTACCCTCTAGATTGCAATGTTTTGAAGTACTAATGTTCAATCATCTCTAAGTGTTCTAATCAAAATACATAACAAAAACATAAATGGGTGGGTAAATAAAATGATTCCATAATTTGCCCATTAAAAATATACAACAGGGAAACAACCTGTATTGGTAATAATATTTTCCATGAGAAATTTGTATTTCTCATTTATTCTCTTAATTGATGCAACTTAGATATATTTTAATGTTGGATTATGCCAATTGCATTACTCTGGAAATGTGACCACATTGCATGGTTAGATTTCCTTATAATTAAAAAGTGTCTGGTAGACCAATAATAACAGTTCTTATAATTACGCAGGCTGCTAAACCTCAAGAGATAAGAAACCCTTGGAAACCAGTGACCTTTATATTTCCAGGCATAAAACACTTGAACTGAGAAGTCACAGTTTCACTTAAACCTGATTCTTATTGTTTAGACACTGAAGGATGAAATGGTTTAACTAAGCCATCTTTATCCCTAACGTGATGACACTATGAGAAGCAATAGTCAGCTAAGTCTTCAGAAGGGGAAGGTGAGTTTCAGAGGTATGATGCCCATATTGTGTAGGTGTTACAACATGCTCGAAAATCAGCTCCAAATGTCCAAATGAGCAAAAAGGCTTCTGCATGTTTGCAGGTCACTGGGCCTTAGCTTAGAGGGAGCAAGACTTGAGTGTGAGTTGTCCACTCACCTTGTCTAAGGGCCCTAGAGGCTAATCTGCAAATTAATCTGTGAAATCACCAGCCCCCAAAATAGAATTATAATACTACAAGTATGTTTATGCCAATACTGCAACACACAAATTGTTGTGTTCACACTTAAGTATCTAATTTGTACTATAATCCTTTGAAGTGTTTTTTTTTTTACTGACTAAAACATTAAGCTCAGAGATTTTCTGATGAGTCCAATGGCATATTGAAAGTAAACATACTAATTTCTAGTTCAGTATTCTTTCTGCTAGTTCTATATGGTTTTTCCCCATTAAAAGTGGAAATTGGTATTTGTCAAAGAAGCCAGATTTAGAAAAAAAAATTATACTACACCTGTGCTGGTCAATTGTAGCCATACATGTAGCATATGGCTACTGAGCATGAAATGGGGTTCCTTGGATTTGAGTAGTGCTGTAACATAAAGTTATGTTATGATTTCAAAAGAGTTAATCAAAAAAGAATGTGAAATCCCTAATTATAACTTTGATATCATTACTTTGTAAAATGAGATGATTTGGATATACCAGGTGAATAAATTATAGCATTAAAATGGACTCAAACAGATTTTTTTTTTCCTTTTTAAAAATGGGTCTCTAATATTTTATTCACTTGTCTGCATTATATTTCTAGTTAGGCAATACTGTTTGATAGTCCACCTTTTAATATACTATTAATTGTAATCATTTTACTAATAGTTTGTGGTACCCTAAAATATTTCAAAACACCTTTTAAATTGCCAAACTTCTTTTGAGTTACAGGAGGCATGACAGTAATTAAGTGCAGTAATTATTTTAAGGGTGGTGAAACTTGCAACATGAAAAATGTTAGTCCAAACATGGTAAAAAATACCATTTAGCAGATGGTTAAACAGATGTCAGTTAGCATTGTTTATTGTTCATATGATTTAAGATACATTAGGGTTCTCCCTGGTGGCGCAAGGGGTTAAGGCTCAGCACTTCATAATATGAAACTATTGGCAGGCAGCCACTGCAGCATGAGTTTGATCCCCAGCCAGGAAGCTAACCCAGATGGCACAGCAGATGTCTCCTGCCTTTCCCACTGCTCCCCTCAGCAGTGTATTTCAGTAGATTTGCCTGCCTGTTTTGCTCCCTACTCTCTCTGGTGAATCCTTTCACCCCCTCCCCACCCACCTCTGGTCTACACCTCAGTTCTTCTATGCATAAATAAATAAATATTTTTTTAAAAGATACATTAGTATAACACTTGTATAAAGACAGATAAATTATACACCTAGAAATCTCTGAGGCTATTCAGGAATAAAAGTACTAAAACATAAAATTGTACAGAATTGCACAGGAGCAAAGAGAGGTTCAAAGTAGAAAATAAGAATATCAAGAGATTTCATCTCTAAAGGAGAATAAGCCAAATAAATAGTGCTTCTCCAATTCTATGTACACACAGTGTGGATCCAGATATTGTTTAATTGCAGACTCTGAGTCAGTGCTGTGGGTTAGGACATGACATCGTGCATTTCACATCCTCCCAGTGATGGTGGTGGGGCCAGCTAGTGGAAAACTTGTTAAGAAGGAAGGATCTATGCCACAGGCTTGTTTAGAAAGCAAGGAAAAGAAGAAGCTGGCTTGGATAGAGTCAGACAAGAAGAGGACATGGAATAAAAAAAGACACATAGGAAAATGTGTCGGAAATAGAAACCTAATGAAAGTAGATATTGTCTGCGAACTCAAGACATATTGAAAGCATGTATGAAAAGAGGTTAAAGATAAAAAAACTAAATGGATGGTCTTCTTGAAGATTCCTTTGCTATTTCTCTGTGTCATCCTGTGACTGGACTACACCTGTGAGTGCTCAACGGCAAGGGATGAAAGGAAAAGGGGACTCCAGGGTATGTCACTAACACACAAAATACAGTGGGACAATCTCAGTTTTATACATGATTTCTCTGTCATCATCCCTTAGGATAAAAAAGTAAACAAGCCAGTACAGGAGTCAAGTGTTCCAGAGAATTGGAACTTGCTAAGAGAAGTCATTTTAGGGTTAGGAAGCTTCCTTGTTTAAATTGACTTGGGAAATCAGGAGGAGGCACCTACAGCATAGGGAACTTCTACGGCCCAAAGGAAGTATGTCATATAGAGCAGGAACAGACTGGAAATAGGAACAGCCTCTTAAAAAGCTTGGATACAGGCAAACCATGGACTGGTCAGGCTGCGAATATGCTGAAGCAGATGTCTAAGTGGGACTCTGTCTAATCTCTCACTAAGAACAAGAGTTATACAGAGAGAGTAGACAGAGAGGTGGTAGGGGGGAGGGAGAGAAAGAAAAAGAAAGGTCAGAATTTTCAGAGAATATGCTTAATTGAACCCAGAACAAGCATCTCCCACAAGTGCCATCTCTGCCCCCTCTTGGGAGAATTCTGGGTGAGAAAGGGAGTGTCACACAGGGGCCTCCTGTGGAAACACACATAAACATACCTGGTTGCTTGGTTTGCCAATATTGGCAGCACTGGCAGAAGAACATTAAGTACTGTTCAGTGTTCTTGTGACAATGGTCAGCCCAGCCCAGAAAATGATCACACATTCAGAGAGCAGACATGGTGTGCGGAAGGTTGCCATTTATCATCCAGCTTACTAAAGCGTAGGAAGAATAGGCTTCTGACCAGGAAGCTAGTTTATGATTAGAATAGAGGCCATTTAAGAATGAAAAGTCAGGGCCTCCCCGGTGGCGCAGCGGTTGAGCGCTGGGTTGCGAAGCTGCCCGCAGCCTCTGCGGCGCCGGTTCGATCCCCGGCTGCTCCCGGGCCACCGGAGGAGGGTCCCACATGGCGCTGCTCCCTGGCCACCGGAGGAGGGTCCCACATGGCGCGCAGACCTCTCCTGCCGCCTGCTGCTCCCCTCAGCAGTGTATTTCGGTCCTTCTGCCCGCTCTGCTTCCCGCTCTGACTCTGGTGAATTCTCTCACCCTCCCACGCTTCTGACTGTACCCAGTGCATGTATAAACAAAACAAACAAACAAACAAAACAAACAAATAAATAAATAAAACATGCCTCTATTAAAAAAAAAAAAAGAATGAAAAGTCAGTTTTCCAAACACTATGAGCCATATAATGTTCAAATGTGTTTGTTTGTTTTTTATGTGAGAAGGGTTTGTTTTTTATGTCAATAGCCAAGTAAGTTTTAAAAATAGTGTGTGTTATACAGTTATTTTGGACGTTCTGAAGTATCCTCCAGTAAAGAAATGTTTTTAAACCACATACCTGAAATCACAGGATACTGGGATACTTATTTCTTGAATACCTATTACCACAGTCCCAGAACTGATACCCTACCGAACACATTTGGAAACCCTACCTAGAAATCATTATTGGCCTTAACAAGAGAGACATTTTCTGTTGAAATACCGGAAGCAGGGTCAATAGATGGAATTGTGTCATTAGCAAAAGTATCTTCTCAGCCCACTGCATTTTCTTTATGTGGTTCTTTCACTGATTTGCTTTAGAAAACACCTCCCATGGTCCTTAGCATTAGACATATCTCTGCATCTGTAGTTAAAGGTTTTATACTTTGCTAAAAGAATTTGAGACAATGCACTGTATGTGAAATCTACAGATAGACAGATGCTAACGGACTGTTTTACCTGAGCACTGACTTTCTGGTGGGTAAAAATCTGTCCTCAATGCAAGCATGAAACAGGCTCCCAGGGGATGAAGAACATGGATTCAGGAATGGGAGCTGAGCTGGGTCTCTGCCTGTCTAACTGGACTCTTCTATTATCTCCACAGGTTTGCGCAGGAGAATGGGTATAAGAAATCAGTCCACAGTGACCGAGTTTCTTTTTTCAGGATTAACTGACCGCCCTGAGCTTCAGCTGCCCCTTTTCTTCCTCTTCTTAGGGATTTATATAGTTACAGTGGTGGGAAATCTCAGCATGATCTCCATAATTGGGCTGAGCCCGCAACTTCACATTCCCATGTATTATTTCCTCAGTAGTTTGTCTTCTTTAGATTTCTGCTATTCTTCTGTCATTGTGCCCCAAATGTTGATAGGGTTTTTAAGGAGAGATAAAGCGATCCCCTATTCTGGATGCATGACTCAGTTTTTTTTATTTTGTATGCTTGCCGTTTCTGAGTTCTATCTGTTGGCAGCAATGGCCTATGATCGCTATGTCGCCATCTGCAGCCCCCTGCTCTACAATGTCATCATGTCCCCGCGGTCTGTTCTCTGCTGGTGGCTGGTGTCTTCTCCATAGGTTTTATCCTTTCCATGGTTTATGAAGTTTTTTTGATAAAGTTGGATTTCTGTGGCTCAAATATCATTAAACATTATTACTGTGACATCATCCCCCTTATGAAACTCTCCTGTTCCAGCACTTTCATTGGTGAACTTCTGATTTTTATCATCGGTGGATTTAATTTGATCACCACTATCCTGATAATCATCATTTCATATGCTTTCATCATCTCCAGCATCCTCCGCATCCAATCTAAAGAGGGCAGGTCCAAAGCTTTCAGTACCTGTGGCTCCCACTTGACAGCTGTTGTTATTTTTTATGGGTCTCTCATGTTCATGTATCTCAAACCTGCTTCCAGCAGTTCAGCCGTCCAAGAAAAAATTGCATCTGTATTTTACACCATTGTGATTCCCATGCTGAATCCCCTGATTTATAGTCTGAGGAATAAGGAAGTGCAAAATGCACTGATGAAGCTCTTAAGGAGAAAAACATCATCAAAATGAATATGCCTTTAAGACTTATTTATATATCATAATGATATATATGTAAGCATTTATATCCTGACTTTTTAAAAATAATTTGAATTGAGGTGAAACACAGATGTAGTTACTGGTAAAGGTATATGCATATTTAGTTCTCAATAAATACCTGAAATTTCAGATTGCTATTAATATGATTGCACATACCTAGATTAGTAAAATGTCAAGAAAGTATGAAAATGTAAAATTCCAAATTTTAAACTGAGATTGAATATTAATAATATTTCTATTTAGTTTCCCGAACTAGGCCAATAAAAAAGACAAAACCACGATTAACAAGAAATTCACATCAGAAAAAAAAGCCACACTAAATTGCTGTTGATGAGATAATCTTCTATGTAACTTACTAAAAAGGAAGAGATTTCTCTTATGGAAATTTGGATAGGAAACACTGAGGTTGAGACTGAAATCATCATTACAACTTCACAGTTAGTTGAAAGCAACTTTCCATTGTTTTTTAAGGTCTTATTAAAGGTCAACGTTATCGCAATCATCAATCAGTGAGAAGGTCCAGCAAAGGTTAAGCTAATATAGTCCCAGTATTTGGTCTCTGGTTATAAGAGGATTAGACTAAGAATATCTAGATTAGTATATCATATTTATACATTTTTATCTAAACATCTTGGGTTTTTCTTGCATAACCATATGTGTGTACTATTTTAGAACTTTCTGCGTAAATTTTTTGGCGTTGACATTTAATCCAGGAGGTAAACTCCATGATTTCAGTTTCTTCTGTATATATTTTGAGTTAAACATGAAGAAAAAGTTTATTTTTTAAGAAGAAACTCCTATATAATAAATCAAAATAATGTACTGCACACAGAATACAATGTGTCAATTAATTCATGATCTCATCATATGCTTATCATGGACATAATGTACCAGGCAATCTTCTAAGTTCTAGAATATTAAGTGAATAAAATGAACAAGATTTCTACCTATTTATGGTGGATGAGGGAGGAGCATATATTATAGAAATAATTAAAGACACATGATAAATAAATGTTTTCAAAAAAATGAGGCATATAGTTGCCAGTGAATTAAGGGCAAGACTTGATAGATCTCCTAAAAAAGAGACATTTATGGAAACATAACTGAAGAAAATAGCACAGGTATGAAAAAACAAAAAGGAAGAATCAGGAACTGAGTACTAAGGATGAAACAAACATAGCCATATTCAATAAACAGGCATTATGGTTAAAAACTCAAGCAAGAGGAGAAAGAGGGACCAAAGGGGATTCAGGAAGAAGGCACATGCCAGAACATGCCAAAATGACTTTATTCTCAGTACACAGAGAAGCTATGAGTGTGTTCCAAAAGTAGAACCTGTTTTACATTGGTAAAATGCAATCTATAATTAAGAAATTATACAGTGTGTATATTTTGCATATGTTTGAGTACCTGATAAGTGAAGAAAAATATAACCATATTGGAAAACACAGAGAATATATTACTAAACATGCAAAAAATAATATAGTGCTAATTAGAGTGTGACAATAGGACATAAAAGAAAATGAATTCAAAATACATTTCTGATACTGAATTAATCACATTGAATGTTAAAATAAAGTGTGATGGGCCTCCCCGGTGGTGCAGAGGGTTCAACGCAGTGCTGTGAAGCTGTCCGCAGTCTCTGCAGTGCTGGTTCGATTCTCGGCCGGCCAAGGAGATTCCCACATGGCGCGGCAGACTTCTCCTGTCTTGCCACTGCTCCCCTCAGCAGTGTACTCAGTCCTTCTGCCTGTTCTGCTCCCTGCTCTGTCTCTGGTGAATTCTCTCACCCTCCTGCACCTCTGGCCTATACCCCAGTGCTTGTATAAATAAATAAATCTTTGAAAAAAAATAAAAAATAAAATAAAGTGTGATGCCTACGGTGATACAGTTTGATAAAATTAAAATGAAAATTTAGAACTTTCCTACTGCCAAGAAGACTAAGGCCCACAAGGAGAAATTATTGGTGGCCTGGATCTTGCTGGTTGATATATGCACCACAGTGAATGGGGACTTTAAGCTGAGCTATCATCAATATCTCACATGTCTCCTCTCTAATTTGATTAATCCTCAGAAGAAGGACCATATATAAACTTTCAGTATTTGTTGAGGCACTGACAGTGGCAGAAGCTGAAATAGCCTATGGAACAGAGAACATAAATCAAACTCTTCACTACTCCTGTAACTGGGCAAGCCTGATGTCAGGATTGCTAACTGTCATGGAATTTTCTGTCATATTTTAACCCTTAACCCTGGAGCTAATGCAGTGGAGTGACTTAAGTTCCTGAGAGAATGATCAAATACAGAGTGTGATGTAATTTCACATATAGAAAGACAAGTTATCCCAGCATACCAAGAGACCTTGAAAGGACTTAGACCTGCATGGCTAAAGAGGTCCCATATTACTTTAGAATTATGTGTTACAGGATGAGCTGACATTAGGAAAGAACCAGTGAAGAGTAAAAGGACTTCAAGATCATTGACATGAGTAGTCAACTAGCTGGCATCACAAAGTGAATGATGATTCAAAATTTAGGATTCAAAATTTAGTACCTGTGAGATCCAGGATATGTGCCAGGGTCTCCCCCTCCCCCAACCACTGGCCTCCTACACACACACACACACACACACACACAGAGCTGCTAGCGATGCCCAGCGTCAGTATAGGTCAGGTTGCACACACTGGTACTGTTTCAGTTTTGAAACTATCATGCTACTGCAAATGAACCAATTGATCGGGTTCAAGCTCCCACAGACACCAATCAGGTTTATGCTCATATTGGTCCTAATCCAGTAAAAAGGACTAATCAAGTTTGAAAAGCAGGTACCCTGGGGAGGATATAAACTAGGCTGCAGTGAGCTTCAGGAGTCAGACAGACTCATCAGAACTCTTTCCTAGGAAGACCTTCGCAACCTTCAAGACCTTCAAGACCTTCACAGACCTTCAAGACCTTTGCATCTAAGGGCCTCCCTGGTGGCGCAGGGGTTAAAGTCAGCACTATCAAAACTATTGCCAGCCACTACAGCATGAGTTCAATCGCTGGCCAGGGAGCAATCCACATGGCACAACAGACCTCTCCTGCCTTGCCACGCTGCTCCCCTCAGCAATGTATTTCAGTATATCTACCTGTTCTGCTCCCCACTCTCCCTGGTGAATCCTCTCACCCCACACTCCCGCACCTCTCACTTTCATTCCAGTTCTTGTATGCATAAATAAATAAATCTTAAAAAAAAAAAAAAAGGCCTTTGCATCTGACCTCTGCATCTCACCACCACCTGACCGGTGCTCCAGCATTTTGCCCTGCTTCCCAACAATGCCTGCTGCCTGGGACTGAGTTGTCTATTAGTCCATGCCAGCACCAATAAAGAAATGCCTGGCACTGGCTTATGCCCAGATCTTTCTATGAGCTATAACTCTAGAGCTTCATTCTAACACTTTTCTTTCTCCAATTTTTTTCTCTCATTCAAGTAAGAGAAAAATAAATTTGGTAAATAAACCCCATTTTTTCTTGGACCATGATCTTGAGTTCTGTCTTGCAGTTGTAGATTTTTTTTTAAGATTTATTTTTATTTATGCATACAAGAACTGGGGTACAGCCAGAGGTGTAGGGGGTGAGAGGATTCACCAGAGACAGAGTGGGGAACAGAACAGGCAGATCGACTGAAATACACTGCTGAGGGGAGCAGCGGGTGAGGCAGGAGAGGTCTGCTATGCATGTGGATAGCTCTCTTGCCGGTGATCAAACTCGTGCTACAGTGGCTGTGGATAGCTTCATAGTGCTGTGTCTTAACCCCTTGCACCACCGGGGAGACCCCTTGTATTTGTAGTTTTAAGTGCACAGCTAAGAACCCACCAATCATGAAAATCACCCCCAAGTTTTTATGTTTTCTGTGTCTGGTGATATCCCAGGAGACACCAACTGATGTGTTTATATTATTACTTATAACAGTACCATATTTGGATTACTTTTACTTCTATGCAATAGATCCTTAAGAGTAGGATTCCTGGGCTGAAATATTTAAGTTCTTTTAGTTTTCACAGATGATGGCAGTCAAGAATATAAAGATGAAGCCAGATTACAGAAACTAAGAGGATGTGAGGAATTAGTAAAATGCATCAAAAAAGAAATAAGTTTCCAGCTAGGGAGGACAGTAGCCAATGAGGCCAAAAATAAAGTGTAAATTAATGGAGGCAGCCCAAACCTGGTGACGAAGAATTTGGTAAGGACTACTTTGGGCTAGATTAAAGGTGTCTACAGGACATGAAACAAACAGGACATTTTTCTGAAATTTAAACACAGATTAGGAGATGTCAGCCAGAGGATGTAGTTAAATCAGGAGTGTGTATCATCATGTCAGGAATATTGCACATATTGTGACAAGAGATAGAGAAGAAAGTTCTGGAGAACACCAACATTCATGACAAAGAGCACGGAAGTTAGATTGAGGAGATAAAGAATTGCAAATGGGGGCCTCCCCGGTGGCACAGCGGTTGAGCGCTGGGTTGCGAAGCTGCCCGCAGCCTCTGCAGCGCCGGTTCAATCCTGGGAAGCTCCCTGGCCACCGGTGGAGGGTCCCACATGGCGCACAAACCTCTCCTGCCGCCCGCTGCTCCCGTCAGCAGTGTACTTCGGTCCTTCTGCCTGCTCTGCTCCCTGCTCTGGCTCTGGTGGATTCTCTCACCCTCCCGCGCTTCTGACTGTACCCAGTGCTTGTATAAATAAATAAATAAAATAAAAATAAAATAAATCTTAAAAAAAAAAAGAATTGCAAATGGGGCCTCCCTGGTGACGCAAGGGGTTAAGACACAACCTATGAAGCTATCAGCAGCCACTGCAGCACGAGTTCAATCCCCAGCCAGGGAGCAAACCCACATGGAGCAGCAGACCTCTCCTGACTTGCCCGCTATTCCCCTCAACAGTGTATTTTTGGTCAATCTGCCTGTCTGCTCCCCACTCTGTCTCTGGTGAATC